GGCTCAAGTGAGTCTCCTGCCTCAGCCTCCCAAGTAGCTGGGACCATAGGCACCCACCACAATGCCTGGCTATTTTTTGGTTGCAGCTGTCATTGTTGTTTGGCTGGCCTGGGCTGGATTTGAACCTGCCACCTTAGGTGTATGTAGCTGGCCCCCTAGCCACTTGAGCCACAGGTGCCTAGCCAGGATTAAATTTTCATAACCTTGCATTTGGCAATTGTTTCTTAAATATAACACCAAAAGACAGGCAACAAAGAAAAAATAGATAAATGGGATTTTATCAAAATTAAAACTTCTGTACATCAAGGATACTATTAAGAACATGAAAGATAACACAGATTAAGAGAAAATATTTTCAGAGCAGCACCTGTGGCTCAGTGGGTAGAGGACCAGTCCCATATACCAAGGGTGTCAGGTTGGAACCCGGTCCCGGCCAACTAAAACAGTAACGAGAATTGCAACAAAAAATAGGTGGGCATTGTGGCGGGCACATATAGTCCAAGCTACTCAGGAGACTGAGACAAGAGAATGGCTTAAGCCCAAGAGTCGGAGGTTGCTATGAGCTGTGATGCCACAACACTCTACCAAGGGCAACAAAGTGAGACTGTCTCTACCAAAAAAAAAAGAGAGAGAGAGAAAGAGAAAATATTTTTAAACGGTGTATCTGATGAGAGATTAATATCCAGAAAATATAAAGAACCCTTACAACTCAACAACAAAAAGATATACCACCAAATTTATTTAATTTTGCAGTTTTTGGCTGGGGCTGGGTTTGAACCTGCGACCTCCAGCATATGGGGCCGGTGCCCTACTCCTTTGAGCCACACGTACTGCCCCACAACCAAATTTAAAAGAGTAAAATATTTGACTAAACATTTCTCCAAAGAAAATATGCAAATGGGGCGGCACCTGTGGCTCAAAGGAGTAGGGCGCCGGCCCCATATGCCAGAGGTGGTGAGTTCAAACCCAGTCCCGGCCAAAAACTGCAAAAAAAAAAAAAAAAGAAAATATGTAAATGGCCAATAAAAACATGAAAAAGATTAAAAAAAATTAAAAGATGCTAAAACTAATTAGTTACTAGGAAATGCCAATCTCATGTATGATGAGATATTATTTCATACATATCATAGTCACTAGGACGTCTATTATCAAACAAAAAAAAAGAAACAAGTATTGGTAAGGATGTGGCAAAGTTGGAATCCTTTGTACATTGCTGGTGGGAATATAAAATGATGCAGCTACAGTCAATGAAAAATAGTTTAGGGGCTTGGCACCTGTAGCTCAAGTGGCTAAGGCACCAGCCACATACACCTAAGGTGGTGGGTTTGAATCCAGCCCGGGCCTGCCAAACAATAATGATGGCTGCAACCAAAAAATAGCCAGGCGTTGTGGTGGGCGCCTGTGGTCCTAGCTCCTTGGGAGGCGGAGGCAGGAGACTCGCTTGAGCCCAGGAGTTGGAGGTTGCTGTGAGCAGTGAAGCCATCGCACTCTACCCAGGGGGACAGCTTG